CCGAGCGGGTATATACGCAGTTTGAGGTACTTTCATGATCTGCCAACTTTTCCGAAGTCGACGCAAAATTTCAGGCCCCAAACTTCATTTTGAATTGAGTTACAAGCAAATTTAATTTTTAGTTAAGGCTAGCGGGCATATGTCCGCTTGGCGGGTATATGTCCGCCGAGCGGTTATATACGCAGTATGAGGTACTTCCATTATCTATATACGCAGTTTGAGGTACTTTCATGAACTTCGGGCCTTTCACGACGTCCACGCAAAATTTGAGACCCCAAACTTCGTTTTGAAGTGAGTTACAAGCAAATTTAATTTTTAGGTAAGGCTAGCGGGCATATGCCCGCTTGCGCGGGTATATGTCCGCCGAGCGGGTATATACGCAGTTTGAGGTACTTTCATGAACTGCCGACCAGGTCCAGATGGCCGGCGGGTAACTATCACACGCGTTACAGTAGTAAAGAGAGGGGGAAATGAGGGGGGAGAAAGAAGAAAAATCGCGTGGCTGGAGGTCCGGGAAGTTTTATAGATGAGCTCCCGTAGATGAGGCCCCTGCATTTTCTCCGAATTATATGTGGTGTCCCCCTTGAATACGAATAGAAGAATGGCTATCCCAGCTCGTCATTCCCACTCTCCACGGAGATAAAATTCAAAATATGCATCATCGCCTTTATATAGCGCCTCTTTCGCAGTAGCTACAGACACGATCTACCCCTAGAAAAATAAAGCTACCAAAACTACATGTCAATGACCACATGACATTACCCTAACCCTACAACTTGCAGGGATATAAGGGCGCAAACTGGCCCTTATTGACAGATTTCTCAACTTCGACTGTCAATTAGGCAACTTTAATGGAAACTTATTCTAGGATTGTTCTCTAAAAATCACATTTCCAGAGATCTATCCAACAAAACAAACCCCAGCCTCGCTTCTGCAATATTCGCAGAGTTATTAGCCCCCCCCCCTCCAACATACATGCTTAGGCCTAAAATCGGCTCCTCCAAAGTTGCCCCGTAAACATCCCAAAAATCATGTTAGACATCCCTCACGTATATATACATATCATTTTTTTTTTCAGCCCCCCATATGCACTTTGAAGCAAGTTATGGTCAAAAAACCCGGTTTAGGTAATTAAATGGAGCTTGCGAGCCATCGCTCGCATCTGCGATCCATGGCTCGCACTTGCGAGCGATCGCTCGCATGTAACTACCCAAGTTTGAGGTACTTTCATGATTTGACCCAATCCACCAATTGTGGTCTGATTAAATTTTTTAGGTAAGGCTAGCAGGCATAAAATTTAATTTTTAGGTAAGGCTAGCGGGCATATGTCCGCCGAGCGGGTATATACGCAGTTTGAGGTACTTTCATGATCTGCCAACTTTTCCGAAGTCGACGCAAAATTTCAGGCCCCAAACTTCATTTTGAATTGAGTTACAAGCAAATTTAATTTTTAGGTAAGGCTAGCGGGCATATGTCCGCTTGGCGGGTATATGTCCGCCGAGCGGTTATATACGCAGTATGAGGTACTTCCATTATCTATATACGCAGTTTGAGGTACTTTCATGAACTTCGGGCCTTTCACGACGTCCACGCAAAATTTGAGACCCCAAACTTCGTTTTGAAGTGAGTTACAAGCAAATTTAATTTTTAGGTAAGGCTAGCGGGCATATGCCCGCTTGCGCGGGTATATGTCCGCCGAGCGGGTATATACGCAGTTTGAGGTACTTTCATGAACTGCCGACCAGGTCCAGATGGCCGGCGGGTAACTACAGTTGCAGCGGTGGAATTTGTCCAAAACTGCGGGATTGTCGGGATTCGCGGGACTGTCGGGATTCGCGGGATTTGCGGGATTCGCGGGATTCGCGGGATTTGCGGGATAAGCGGGATTTAGCTATAACTTCTTTTAAAACAGTTTTATTTGTAATCTAAGCAAAGATTTGGCTTCAGCTTGACGAGACGAATCTTCTGGTATACAATATGTCCGCAGTTCATAGTGACACGGTAGACATATGGTGATACCTTGTTATTTTCTATGTTAAGGCTTTTGTGAACATCTAACACAGTGTAAATCGCGAATAGGAGGTTCTGATACGAAGTTCTCATTAACGAAAACTATCGCGAAAAATTGGGCAGTTTTTATTTACCCTTATCACCGATATAAGCATTTTATCATTTATCACTGATAATGTCACATTTTTGGATCATTTTTGGCATATGGTAAGAAAAGTGTTGTAGGAAACGCTGCGCAAATTTCTATCGCTCTTTCTCTCATTATAAGTGATCTACAGGATTTCCTAGTTCTATTGTTCGGTCAATTGGTAGATCCCTCGCTGCAGCAATCGATCGATTTCTCATCGGCACATGCCATTGCTGCCAATTCTTACCCAAAATGGCATTTTTGCTTCAACTCGCTTCACGCCGAAGCTTGGACTGAATTTCTGCACCTATATGGAAGATGAACGTGGGAATCGACCGCATGAATTTAAGCCATTCTTATCTGTCGTTTTCATTGATATCATCATTTTATCATTTATCACTGATGATAAAAATTGGATTATTTTTGACATACTATAAGAAAGGTACTTTAGAAAACGCTGAGTTTTTATCGCTCTATCTCTTATAGAATGTGATCTACAGGCTTTTTCGGTTCAACTGCGCATTCGTGCAGTAGATAGATCCCCCACTGCAACAATCGATTGATTGCTCATCATGCGCATGACGCCGTCTCCTTGGAGACATTGCTTTTTCAGAAAAATTCACCGCTCTATAAATTGTGAATGAATCGTCTGTCAACAGGTTCTGTTTCCTACGTATGATATACAAATCCAGATCCACGAAGGCGATCGGTCTAAGGTACGAAACGGCGCAAACGGCGTGCTCGAGCATCTTTCTATCAAAGTCCACACCGCGACGATGCGCGTCATAGACTGTTGCCTCCGTATCGAAGTCTTTTTGAATTCTCCTATGCTCTACTCTATTTCTTGCACAATAGCTCACAAAATGCGGATTTTCTTTGTATGTCGTGAAATTCCGGGGGTTTTGCGAAAGTCCGTAACGTTCTGGAAGTTTTGCTACATTCCGGGATTTCTGAATCACGCGAATCACGCAAACAATAGAACGCCATAACTCCATTTAGAATGAATAAATTCTGCATCCAATTCCGTTTCCAGTTTTCTCAAATTCTTCTGCGGAGGTCTGTTTGCAAGGATATAACACAGTGCCTATCTAATATAAAAGATACTAGTAAGTAATATTCGATAGTACGGTTCTTGTAAATCATAGCGCACTAAAGTATAGCTGCGCATTTATTTCCAGAAGAAACATAAACGTTGGTGAATTCTGGAAAAATCACGCGTTCTCAAATTCTATTTGTCATAACTTCCTTCGAAATGAATGTCTTGTGAATCCGAAAGAAGCATCATGCTCAGCTCGTCAAGGCGAACCTTTCGATATACAGCATGCCCTTGATATTCCGATTTCAGTATTCGTGAATCTTTCTGCGGACGTTACTTTGCAAAGATTAAAGTAGCGCGCATTGCTCCTAGTAGACTACAGTAAGAGCAATTCGGTCGTACCTCCCTTGCAGATTAATGATCGCTAAAGAATCTCCGCAAACTTCTTCTGAAGGGAGGTAGAAGGACTGGTGAATTGGGAAAAAATCTTGTCGCAGGAATTTCTGCTCGCCATAGCCCTAGAATACAAAGCTATCTTGCTAAGCAGATGTGAATTTCGAAATCAGCAGGTCAGATAACCTACATGAGCAAGTTTTCCGGGATGTTCGGGTTATTTCATTTTTTCTCGTTTTACGCTCTGGAAGCTAGCCGATGGATAGTGGTCAAAATGTTGATGCTTTTGAATTGTAAGGAAACTTCGCTTATAGAGGTTTTCGAACACGCTGTTTACGAAAATAGTGGTCTTTGAAGAAGACAGGGTCTTTTTGTAGAGATATTGTGAGGTGACTGTAACTGAGTCATGAAAGTTCGTAAATTCGCCCGCGCTTTTCGCGAATTTGTCAGAAGACTTGCCTGCTTGCTTCTCTAAGTCAAGATCACTAGGAACTGTGCCATCAAATGGTGCACGCTCAGGTCTCATTCTATAAAGTTCGCCGAGTTACGAGCCTACGAAAACACGTCCTCATGAATTTTGCTCAAAGTGTAAAAATCGCGTATTTCCTCGAAATTCCACCCTGAGTGGTTATATGACATACTGATCAAATCTATTCACATTGGTTAATGGTCTTACTGTGCTGGATTTGGAAATTAGGTAGGTCTGAGCTCAAGCACGAAGCTGCTTGGATGTTCAATCGAGCAGCTGAAGAACGCGGGACCACCAGTACTCTGCGTTGATACCACTGCTT